AAAAATTCAATGCATATCTGCCTTGCCCACCTCTCTCACTTCATTTCCTGTAACCTCGTAATTACTTTTAGTAAGTACCATGTTTACCACATGTGTGGTAAGGCTCTGTTCTCATCCCCTGTCTTATTAAAGGATTTTGTAGCATAATGTTGATTGATTAAAAATTTTGTAAGCAGTGGATTCGAGATGGCTCTGCAGAAGAGTGAAATAGAATACATAGGATTTATTATTTAAATGCAGCCCAGGAGGGGCGCCTGGGTGGCTCAGTTGGTGAGCATCTAACTCTAGATTTCATTTCACGTTATGATCCCAGGGTTGTGGAATCGAGCCCCATGTCAGGCTCCATGCTGAGCATGGAACCTGCTTAAGATTCTGTCCCTCTCCCTCAGCGTCTCTCTGGCTTACACTCTCTCTAATATAATTACACACACACACACACACACACACACACATAACTTAAATATAAATTATATTAAATATACACTCTCAATATAATTATATTTATATAGTTAACAAATATAAAATATATATTTAATTTTAATATAATTATGTATATTTATTTATTTAAATGAAGCCCAGGATAAGTAATTTCTGTGTGCTAATCTCTGACCAAAGAGACAGACTTTCATAATGGGCTTATATCTGTGTCTTATACCACCAGCTTTGACCACTTAATGGGCAATCATGTGAAAAACTAGGAACAGAGTGGAACTTAGGTGGGCATCTTTCTGTACAGATAGTTCTAATTTTTTTTTAATGTTTTATTTATTTCTGCGAGAGAAGGAGAGACAGCATGAGCAGGGGAGGGTCAAAGAGAGGGAGACACAGAATCAAAAACAGGCTCCAGGCTCTGAGCTGGCTGTCAGCACAGAGCCCGACGTGGGGCTCAAACCCACGAACCGCAAGATCATGACCTGAGCCAAAGTTGTGCACTTAACCAACTGAGCCACCCAGGCGCCCCTGTACAGATAGTTCTAATAAATTATGGCTACATCTCCCAAAGAGACTTTTCTATTTGGCACATATATTTCCTGTAATACCTAACAAAGTAAACAGGCAAGTCTTCTAAATAGCCTTAAAATGATTCCAGTCAAAAGATACTGAGTCCAGATGTTCTGATGTGAAAGAACTTCTGAAAGAGACTGTTTTCTAAGTCCTCATAATATATTGATCATAAAACATAGCAATGCTTTTTATTTCTACCTTCTAGATACACAGTTTTCCATCTGAGGTAGCACTTCAGAATCATGTGTGGAACTTTGCTTACATTTGCTACCAGAAGTTCTGATTTAGTAGTTTTGAAGTGAAGTCATTGCATCTGTTTTTGAACACTTTGGTGCTGTTTCTAATAGACACACTTCCGGTTGACTACCACTCCCAACTTACTTTGTAATTTGAACGACACATATTCTGTTATAACATGAAGACACAGCGTTCATTCGTATGGGTTCTGTGGCTTTACAAAGAGGAACCTAGGAGGTAGCTAGAAGGAAATCCTAGCTATTGTCAGAGTTTTGGTTTTAAGAGGAAACCAGTCCAAACCTCTCCTCTTTACAGATGAAAAAGCAGACAGACATGAGGGAATTTTCAGGGTAGATAGCAGAACCAAATACTTTTGAAGGCTCACTTGAGCCTTTTTTCTAGTAGCATCTTGGACCTAGTCCATCTTTGAGAAAAACTTCAAAGCTACTTAGTAATCTAAAAGTTGTCCTGAGCATTCGAAGCCTGACCCCAAGATATGGGCATTTCATACAAGGAGCAATAATGCAGCCAGCAGGAATGCCTCACATCTTGGAAGGCACTAGGGTGGAGTTATGAATAATAGAACTCGTAGTTACAAATTACAGACATCACCCAGAATGCTTTTGTGACTTCCTCGTGAACATGGAAATTTCTAACAAGAGATGCCTAGATTTATTACTAAAGATTGTCAAGAACAAGATGATCATTTGTCTCATCTAAACTGATCTTTAAGTATCAGAAGCAAGTATAGGAAATTATGTCAGTATTATATTTCTAAGCAGATCTGACTTTTATAGCTTGTACTTCAGAAGGAGGATATTGTGCCCAGATTTGCAATTTATCCAACTAAAAGAATAATATGTTCATTAATTAGGATTAGATTTGGCTATGAAAAAAGGTCTAAATAACAGTTCAGTCAATATACAGATTGATTTTTCTTTTGGATTAAAAAAAGGCAGGAATGTCTAACATTGGTTACTTCACAGCTATCAGGGACTCATGTTTGTTGTTTTTTTCTTTTTTGTTCTGTTCATTCTTGCCACTATTTGATATCCACAAAGTGTCTGATGATTCTAAATGGCTTCTGGAGCTTAAGCCATCTTGAAAGGGGAGCATACCTCCAACTTGAGTCAGCTCTCATGAAAGAGCTTTTCTAGAACCATCTCATCCGGCAATTTCTGCTTCTGTCTCACTGGTCATAGCTGTTATCAAGGGAGGCTGGAAAGTTACAAGCGGGGAGGTTGCTATTCGCAGTAATCAGAAGATTTGTTATGAAGTAAGAAGAGAATGGATACTAGACAGGCAACTAACAGATCTGCCACGAGCTGTTTTGAAGAATATACTAATTTTTTAAAAGAATATAATATTTATATGAGGAAAATCAAATTTTAGTGACATCAAAAACTATTACATAGCATATAAATTTGAAAGATCCCCAAACTACCATCTACCATATGTCTGATTAGTAAAAGCAATAACTCTCTACGATCGTGTTCTGCTTTGGATTTTTCAGCAGAACTCATTGGGAACAGCTGTTAGGTTTTGTGTATTTTAAATATACCGAAGAATGAGTTCAGAACAACAGGGGGATAAAAGGCACTTCACATTAAATCTTATTTCCTTTTGGAGATAGAATCAAAACAAGCACAAGGAAAATTCAGTGGCTATTTATGGAGCTGACAGCAGCAGAGTATGCTATAGTAGATGATACAAGCTGGGGATGAGCATACTAAAACACTCAAGCTTCTTAGTACCTAGATGGAACAAGATAGATTCTGGCAGCACGTGAAATAGTAAAACACTTATCATGGCAACAAGCACACCAACTCCAGATAGACAAGATTTATCCTGGGGACAAGGTTGGGCATCTTGGGTGAAAGGTTTAAGTAGTAGATATTGTCTTAGTCCATTTGGGCTGCTATAACAAAATACCAATAGACTGAATGGCTTATAAAGTCAGAAGTTTATTTTGCACAGTTTCAGAGACTGGAAGTCCAGGATCAGGGTGCCATCATGGTCAGGTTTTGGCGGAGACCCTCTTCAGACTTTTTGCTGTGTCCTCACATGGTGGAAGGAGCTAGGGAGCTCTCTACAGTCTCTCTCTCTCTTTTTTTTCTTTTTTTCAATTTTTTAATGTTTGTTTATTTTTGAGAGAGACAGAGTGCGAATGGGGGAGGGGCAGAGGGAAAGAGGGAGACACAGAATCCAAAGCAGGCTCCAGGCTCTGAGCTGTCAGCACAGAGCCCGACCCGGAGCTTGAACCCACGAACTGTGAGATCATGACCTGAGCTGAAGTCGGATGCTTAACCAACTGAGCCACCCAGGCACCCCTCTACAGTCTCTTATAAGAGCACTAATGTCATTCATGACGGTTCTGCCCTCATGATATAATCACTTCCCAAAGGCCCACCTCTTAAAACCTTCACATTGGGCATTAGGTTTTCAACATATGAATTTAAGGATGAGGGGGAGACACAAACATTTAGATTATAGCAGATAGAATCACCTCTACTTATATCCTACCTATACATATAAAAAGAATAGGGAGAAGGAGAGATTTTGTTGTCTAAAGAACTTGTAGGGGCACCTGGATGGCTCAGTCAGTTAAGCGTACGACCCTTGATTTCTGCTCAGGTCATGATCTCTGCTCAGATAATGATCTTGCAGTTTGTGAGTTCGAGCTCTGCATCGGGCTCTGTGCTGATGGCACGGAGTCTGCCTAGGATTCTGTCTCTCCTCCTTTCTGCCCCTCCACTGCTTCTGCGCTCTGGCACTCTCTCCCTCTCTCTCTCAAAATAAATAAATAAACTTTAAAAAAAACCTTGTAGGCAGAAGCAAGTAGTAATCTGTAGCATATATAGCTGCAGAACATGGTGTATATAAATGTGTAAGATGGAAGTGCTTCTGCTCTATGAGACCAGATTTTTTTTAAATGCTCTCTAGTCTCAGTCATATCCACTGTTCACATGGTGCCATTTAACACATATTTACTGAATGCCTCATATTTACAATACACTCTAAGGGAGAAATTTGTTTACAAGTTTTTTCTCACAAGGTGAGAAAGTCTAGATTTTGGCATCTTAGAGCTATGAATTTCAAATCTAGGGAAAGCCCAGCCTTGTGTTTTATTTTTCCTTTTCCTTTCAAAATTACTTACCAGTAACCAAATGCTGTCTGTTGACTTTGCCCCAGCTGATAGAAAACAGGAAACTACAGAGACTCCCTGTGAGAAGAGGGCCAGGCTGCACCCTCTGTGACCTCAGCCCTTCAGTCAGAGTTCTCCTTGGGGCAGCAGTTGCAAACAGCCCTATGTGGCTTTGGCAGTTAGCCTAGGGAGCTCAGCTGAAACCAGTTAATGCAACAAGGCCTGTTAGGCTGGCCTTTGAGCTCAGTGAGCTGTCTTTTGAACCTTCTAGGATAGTGCACATTTGGGTCTCCTTGGGGGAGAATAGTTTATGCTCTGATCCAGTAAATAGATCAGGGACCATTCTTTGTCTTCCATAGCAGTAGAAATACTTTTGTCACTGTGGTATCAAACAGGTGCTTGTTTGAGGCGATTAGGTGATGACTCACCTTTCCTATGCATTATTCCCTTTGAAGCTGCTGTGCTCAGTTTAGGTTCTCCAGGAGGGACTATGAGAGAAAATGGTAATCTCAGAAATTGTACTTCCTTTATAGCTACTCAGTGCTGATGCAGCTATCTTGTATTTTGGGTTTTGTGTCCCCCACTCTACACCCCATTTCTCCTCTGCTTGCAGGTGAAGGTCTTCCACAGGTGTATTACTTTGGACCATGTGGGAAATACAATGCCATGGTGCTGGAGCTCCTTGGCCCTAGCTTGGAGGACTTGTTTGACCTCTGTGACCGAACTTTTACTTTGAAGACTGTGTTAATGATAGCCATCCAGTTGGTAAGTTGGCATTGCTATTCTGCAAAAAGATAGGTGGGTCCCCCAGCTGCATCCTTGAGTCCCCTTTGGTGCTCTCCCAGCTGTCGTGACACCTAGAGAATGCACACTCAGAGATTTGATGGCATTCTAGGAAGCAAGCTAGACCAAAAGGATTCACCTAGAGAAGGCACACTGCATCTTCTCTTTGCTCTATTTTAAGAATTTGCACCTTGGAGCAACACCCTGCCCTTAACTGAAGTGGAAGCGTATAATTTAGATTGGGGAGAAAGAGGATGATTAGGTGAAATTGTACAAATCCAAGTAATTTTCTTGATGTTTTATTTATAGGTTTTTAACACATGGCTGTCAAGTTTTGTCCTCTCCCCTCACCCTTGCCTCCAAGAAGGGATTGGCCATGTAACCCACTGCCCTAACAGTCAGATTCCAAAGTTGTGTGACCAGGAACCTGTCTTAACTCTCTGGCCTCCAATTTTTACAGAGACTGACTCAGCTGAAGAGACAGCTCTCTCCACTCCATCCAAATTACACAGCAATGCCAGTTCAAGAAGCAGTTAAGGCAGTTCTTTGAGAAGTCTGTCAGCCTCTCAGATGAAGGATGCACATGCATCTTTATTGGTCTCGAATGGTGGTAGTCTCATCCACTTTACAGTAAAAGCTTGGAAATGTTAGAAAATTGACTTTGACTTTTGAGTCCAGCATTCAAATGCCTCAGCTTCCCTTTCTATGCTAAGTAGAAAGTGTCATGGATAGAAATAAAACAATGAAATTTGAAATAATTTTACGATTATTATTGTGGGCTATATTTACTTTCACACAAAAACTGCTCTCCTACCTCTGCTGCTGACTAGCTTTGTAAAATCAATGCAGTCTTAACTTCTCTGGAGCTTACTTCCCATGCTTTTGAAGCAGAAGGAACTAGGTTTGGGAGGCCTACCTGACTGAGGATAGGAAGGTGTGGGCAGGAGGTGAATGTGACAGTGGCAGTTGTCTTCAGAGGTTGCCAACATATTGTGATAATCCTGGCTGGGGATACTTTGAGCCTCCCAAATGTGTACTTCCTGAGGTAGCATAAAAACATCTAATTCTATTCATCATTTACAAATTGTAACATTGTGACCTAAACCGTGCTTTCATTTATCTTGATACTTGTTATATATACATTTGTATCAGAATATTTTCTGGTTTACAAGAGTGAAGTGACTGGGTGGTGAAGAAATGAGTTTTACTTTCATTTCAGTAGTTAAAACCTTGGGGCTGATAAAAGAAAACGTTTTGATGGGTTTTTTTCCCCCAAGAAACTTCTTCAGAGTATGTTTATCAATGTGTATTCTCTTTTAGCTTTCTCGAATGGAATATGTGCACTCAAAGAATCTCATTTACCGAGATGTGAAGCCAGAGAATTTCCTGATTGGCCGACAAGGCAACAAGAAAGAGCATGTTATACACATTATAGACTTTGGACTGGCCAAGGAATACATTGACCCTGAAACCAAAAAACACATACCTTACAGGGAACACAAAAGTTTAACTGGAACAGCAAGATATATGTCTATCAACACGCATCTTGGCAAAGGTGTGTTTATTTTCTGCTCAGTGAAAGGGGTGGGTCCTTAAAATAACTTTTTATTCCGATAATACTTTTGTCCCCATTGTGCATTACAACGTGTGACTCTTCTCACTTCACAATGCAAGTGATTTTTATACTTGAGAAACTAAGATGGTAAGGTAGTGACTTTCCTAAGTATCCTGTTGACAGGGTATTTATTTAATTTTTACTCTTTTTATTGTTTATTTTGAGACACAGAGCGAGAGAGCAGCGGAGGGGCAGAGAGAGAGAAAGCGAGAGAGAGACTCTTAAGCAGGATCCATGCTGTCAGCACAGAGCCCGATGAAGGGCTCAATCTCATAATCATAAGATCACGACCTGAGCTAAACTGAGAGCCAGTTCCTTAACAGACTGAGCTACTCAGGAGCCCTTATTTAATTCTTTATACTGTGTTTCCAAATGCTTAATTTATCAGCACTGTGGGCACTTTTCATTATTGTATTAAGATGATAGCATTTGAGCAAGTCTAATGATGAATTTGGTGTTTATATATGAATGACTCCACATATGACAGTACTGAGAAGTACATCAGGTTGGTTGGTATCTGAACTGGGGAACAGTGAGCCACTAAAACATGGACTAGGCTTCTGGTCACTGTGCATAATTCCGTGAGTAATTCTTTGAGGAAGAGCCTATGTCTTACTCAATGAAAATAGAGGAGTCATGCACTTTATTCAGGATAGACAATTGGTGAAAGCTCAGTCAAGGCGGAAGACCTTACTTGTTAGAGGAACTAGTCCAGGGGAGAATATTTGTACAAGAAGCCTAAGGAACAGTGGGAAAGCCAAATAGGCAAAGCCCTGGGCCCCTCACTAGCTTCTCCAGAAAAGCTTCCTTTTTTTTATCTGTTTTATATATTGGGCTTCTTTGGAAGATTCTGTTTGAAGAAAAAATTCCATAGTGATTGTAAAACTGTGTTTGAAATTCACTACTCATGGGGCACCAAGGTGGCTCAGTTGGTTAAGCCAACTGAGTTCATGAGTTGGAGCCCTGCATCAGGCTCTGTGCTGATAGCTTGGAGCCTGGAGCCTTCCTCAGATTTCTGTGTCTCCCTCTCTCTTTTGCCCCTTGCCTGCTTGCCCTCTGTGTCTCTCTTAAAAATTAAAAAAAAGAAATTCACCACTCTTGAGAGTAGACACGTAAACAGAAGATTATCAGATTCAATATTCCTAGACATAGCTAATTATATTGAGTGTTTAATTATTAATGAAGTGTTGTCCACTAAGAAGTATTTTAAAGACTAAATGACTACAGAGTTGCCTTATTGACAAAACTGCATAAGTTTTTAAATGAGGATGCTAGTGTTAGTGAAGAGTAATGATCATATTGCAAAGTTATACAACTCAAATTGAAATCCTGAATGTTGTCAGAATTTTTTTCAGTAAATATACAGAAATTCTCCCTTAACTAAATGTAGTACTTTAAAACTAGACCTGAAGGGCCAATGCCACTTATTATCTGTGTCATTTTGGACAAGTTACTTAATCTTCCTGAAACTTATCTGTAAAGTGAGAGTAGTATTTCACAAGGATGTGTTCGTGGGTTGAATGAGTAGTATGTGTAACATAGTTCTCTTGCATAGTGTTCAATATCCCCTCTTCCTTCCTTTTTACTGAAATAGACTGTGTTATAAATAGGAAAGTCATGATTATTTGGTTTAACTGACACACTTTAGAAGTTGTTCTCATGCCTGCTTCCTAGGCACAGCAATCCATCTTCTGATTTTATTATTCTTGTCAGGAAAGGCAAGAAGAGACAGGGATGGGTGTCAATGTTATGTTTGTATAAGGTACAGATAATGGTTAAGAAGAAGGGTTGCAAACCCTGGCTCTCGTACTGAAATCTGTGTGATTTGGAGACAGTAACCGTCTTTCCTCAGCCTCAGTTATCTCATCTATGAAATGGGTATGATAATAATACATTAATATGAGATATAATGCATATATTTAGCACAGTGCCTCATAATAGCAAATACTCTAAATGGTAGTTATTTAGTTATTCAACAAAATACATTTTAAGCATGTACAGTCATCAGACTGGGTTCTTTCATCTCTTGGTGTAGCCATTCCTGCTGGAACTTTGAGTTTACCTCCAAACCTGAAATTCCTGAGTTCAGAGTTTTTTGGGTCACATTGAACCTGTCACCATATTTTGCCCTCTCCAGATTAAAGAGAATACATTATAGATGGTTGTCATATGCCCTTTAAACTCTGGCCAGGGTCTCAAAGCAGAGAGGTTTCCATAGGACCTTGAATCATACTGTTGTTTTGTTTATTTATTTATTTTGAGAGAGGCAGAGCAAGCAGGCAATGGGCAGAGAGAGGGGGAGAGAGAATTCCAAGCAGGCTCTGCACTATTCAGGGCCCCAACTCACGGTGAGATCATGACAACTGAAATCAAGAGTGGGACACTTTTTTTTTTTTAATTTTTTAAATGTTTATTTATTTTTGAGAGAGAGAGAGGGACAGAGAGACAAAGAGAGATTGCACGCAGGGGAGGGGCAGAGAGAGGGAGGCACAGAATCTGAAGCCAGCATGGAACCTAAGGCGGGGCTCCAACTCACGAACCATGAGATCATTACCTGAGCTGAAGTCGGACACTTAACAAACTGAGTCACCCAGGAGCCCCAAAAGTGGGACATTAACTGGCCAGCCACCCAGGTGCCCCCATATTTATTTATTTATTATTATTATTATTTTTTACAAATAGTTTATTGTCAAATTAGTTTCCATATAACCCCCAGTGCTCATCCTCACAAGTGCCCACCTCCATGCCCATCTCCCCCCTCCCCCCCCATCCATCAGTCCTCAGTTTGTTTCTCAGCATTCAAGAGTCTCTCATGGTTTGCCTCTCTCCCTTTCCCCCACCATTTCCCCCCTTCTTCTCCCCCATGATCCTCCGTTAAGTTCCTCCTAATCCTCCTATACGTGCAAACATGTGATATTTGTCCTTCTCTGCCTGACTTATTTCGCTCAGCATAACACCCTCAAGGTCCATCCACGTTGCCACACATGGCCAGATTTCATTGTTTCTCTTTGCCATGTCGTATTCCATGGTATAGATAAACCACATCTTCTTGATCCATTCGTCCGTGGATGGACACTTAGGCTCTTTCCATGTTTTAGGTATTGAGAGTGCTGCTATGAACATTAGGGTACATGTGCTCCTATGCATCAGCATTTCTGTATCCCTTGGGTAAATTCCTAGCAGTGCTATTGCAGGGTCATAGGGGAGTTCTATTGTTAGTTTCCTGAGGAACCTCCACACTGTTTTCCAGAGGGGCTCCAGGTGCCCCCATATTTAAATGTGTAGCATTCTTTATGTTGTAATGAAGAAAAAGGGAAGTGTATCTTCAGATGTCTTGGAGAGAATTGCCTATTTTATGAGAGGGAACAAGAGAAGCCTCCTAAACCTGACATTACCACATCAGATTAGCCACCTTCCCACTGATTAAGACAGTCCATTTTGTATTCTTTAACGATTGAAGTTAGGATAAGAACACTGGGTCATCTAGACCCTTTCCTCTAGCAAAATATATTTGACCTAAAATTAAAGATGTGATGCATGTAAACCAAGCACATCTTTTTTAATGGTTGAAAGCAGGCCTTTATAGTGTGGAAGAATTCTGTGTCCTACTTGTCCCACTGGTATTGAAACCTTTCTTCTTTGAACAGGAAAATATCCTTCATGAAAAAAATGAGGGCATGTGGAAATTCTGAACTAAATGAATGCAGTTTTCAAAGAAGTACAGAAGTAAAGCATGACTCTCACTTTTTTTGAAAGGATTAAATTATCATAGATTGATTATTAATGGGTTAAATTATCATAGGTTAATTACTTTAGAATTTTAGAACTGGAAAATGACTTATCTAAGTCAGCTTACTTTCATTTCTCGTTTATTTTTTTTATTTTTTCTCGTTTATTTATTTTGAGAGAGAGAGCGCACATGTGTGTGAGCGAGCAGGAGACGAGTGGAGAGAGAGGGAGAGAGAGAATCCCACAGGCTTCCCATTCTGCATTGGGCTCGATGTAAACCCAGAGATCATGACCTAAGCCAAAATCAGGAGTCTGATGCTTAACCAACTGAACCACCCAGGCCTCCCAACCACTTTATTTTCAGATGAGGAGACTGTGGCCCAAAGTAGGTGACAGCCATGCTTAATTTCACATGGATCAAATGAATGGAAAGAATGGGCCAAGAGCTAGATAAGCTAACTTGGGAGCCATTATTTTTCCTATTATTCCATATACCACATCTGTTGTTCATGGTGCTCAGTAGTTGGAAAATCACTTTATTAGTTACTCTAGTGGGTTTAAGTGTGGGGGTTTTTGTTTGTTTGTTTGTTTGTTATTATTACTTTTTTTTTAAGCATTCTTTATGTTTGGCTTTGCTGTGGAGAATAGTTGGGCTTTTTTACAGGACTGATCAATATTGAAAATGTGGAGAGTTTTGCCCTCTAGTGCCCAACCAACAAAAGTGCAACTATTTGTCCAGTGAATTTTTACAACCAAGAGGCCTCTTGTTAAAGGAAGTGGATATAAAAATGGAAAGGCAATGAGTAGGTGTGATACAGTGTGAGAAACTGCAGGGTGTGGTTTCTTTATCTGCCCTGCTTTTTGAGAGGCCTCAACTCACCCTGCTTGTTCTTTTTTTTTATTTGTATGTCTTTAAAGCCTGTTAACAAACTCTTCCAGTCTAACAGCTTTTTGCGTTCAATTATGTATACAATTTGGTTGCAAATCCCAAGCAAGCCGTGTAGACAAAAGCTTCTCTTGGTCTTGCTGTTTTATTTCCTTCTTTTAAAGATTATTTCAGTTGATATGCATCGACTCAATTTTATGTCATTTATGTCTCTTGTCAGATGCCTCTTTTTCCCATTAGTGACCACCTTGCCAAAAACCGTTTTCTTTCCAGTTTAGAAAGTTGCCTTTTCTTTCCTGATCCACCCTGTAGAGTGCTGTTCACTCTTTGTCACGCACAGTTCCCATAATTGGAGGCAGCCATTAAACATGTTGTACTTCTGCATTTTGAGCTGAGTAGCTCTCCCTGCTTCCCTCAAGTTTTACTTTCTGCACAAAGAAAGCACAATCAAGTTTAGAGTAGTCCCTTAGTCTTGTCTGTCTATCTTCTCTTGATAAAGCCCTCAAATTGATTCTGAGAAATAAGCACATAAGATGTCTAGGATGAGCCATAACTGGCAAGTTAGGAATAGAGGCATGTACTACATGTACACATGTTCAGTGTGACAACCCAAGTACATATAAGGATGTTTTTTGAGATGAAGTTATAATTTTTTTAACTAATTTCAGTTCTTTACTATTTTAGTCTTCCCAGTTGAAAGAAAAGAAAACCTAGCAATTTGTTTTACATGATAAGCTCCCAGAATGCAGGGATCCTGTTTTATTTTTCCATATAGGGCACCTTAGTGTTAAGTTTTAAATGTTTCTTTAAATTTTGAAAAAATTATTTTTGAGAGAGAGACACAGAGTGCGAGCAGGAGGGGAACACAGAGACAGACAGACAGACAGAATCTGAAGTAGGCTCCAGGGTCTGAGATGTCAGCACGGCCCGATTCAGGGCTCAAACCCATGAACCATGAGATCATGACCTGAGCTAAAGTCGGATGCCTAACCGACTGAGCCACTTAGGTGCCCCTAATTTTAAATATTTCTCAAGGTAGCTATGGAACATGGTACAAATGGAATAGAGCCGAGAGATTATACATGGATGTTTGTTTATGTCAAACTTAATTTTAAGTGTTCATTTTTATGATGAATTAAAAACACTAGATATGTATGCTAGGCATTCCACAACTTGTGTCTTTGCAGACCTAGCCATCAGGATGGACTGTTTAAAAGTTTCAGCTGCTTAATCTCACTTTCCATGACGGTAACCCAAAGGGTAACTATAGCCCATATACTGGAAATAACATTTCATATAAATTCTCTTTCTTTCAGGGAGGTGACAGCAATGACCGAGGGGTGGTTTACTCACCATTCAGTGATTTGGATTTGGTTTTAGTTTAGGATTTGCTCTTTTCACTTGATATTTACTTGCCAGTGACAGCTCTAGGCAAAGGAAGTACACAGTGTTTTTTGGTTTTGATCTGAAATACTATCCCTGGTTTAGATATACAAAGAATTAGTAAGCAGCGCCTTTCCAGAACAGAAGGGTTTCTGAAGGGATTACTTGGTTTTGAACCCCTTTCTGCTTTAATAACTGCAAACATAATGTGTGATCTGTCTTCCCTTTTAGAGCAAAGCCGGCGGGATGATTTGGAAGCCCTAGGCCATATGTTCATGTATTTCCTTCGAGGCAGCCTACCCTGGCAAGGACTCAAGGTATCCTTGAAAGTGCTCAGTGGAGGGCTTTGTTTCAATACTCAGTTGTTAATGAAGGGGTTGCTGACTTAACGTCCGAAAGAAGCACAGTTGGGAAGATGGGCTGGCTGCAGAGATGAGAAGCAGATTACCTTGTCTGTACTAGATGCTCCCCTGGGCTTTGGGAGCTCTGCTTTGCTCACATTTGCCTTCTTCCCCTTCGGAATCCTTCTTCCTTATTTTGGGGTTTTCCCACAGTCTCTTCCCTTGTTCCCTCCCAGCCTTGGCAGCGCGGCTTTTCTGTGTCACTTTCCTCCTCCACTACCATTATGTAGCAGGAAGAGTGTTCCCAGTGTGCTGGGGAATTTCTGGAACAAATTGATGACAGCAGCTGCTACACATTTTACCAGCAAGGCCAGCAGGGCTGGGTGTGCCCCTAAGGAGAACTGGAAAATATTTATTCATCCTATCTAGGCTAAGGATCCACCTGAACTAAAACAAAAATCCAGGTTTAACATTGTTGTTCATGTGTTTTATTCAGTAAATGCCTATGCAGACAATAGTCATTCCTTATGAAACGTGTAGTTTAAATAGCCTTCCTTAGGTAGGTATCAGTGTACTGCATTTGTGTCAGAGTTAACTGCTGATAATAACTATAACCACTGTAATTATTCTCTGCCTCTGGCTGGTTAGACTAGGAAATAGTGAGCTTCTAACCCATGTGAAGTCCCATTTTAGATAGTTAAATGTGAGATATATTTTTGAGTTGTGATTTATTTCAACATGTTAGTATGGAAAGAAGCTTAATCACTAGATTTAGGTACTTGTACACCCCGTGGCCCCCTCCCTTGCTCCCTCCAGAAGGGCAGAATGATTCATTTGCTGTGCTTTCTAGACCGTTATCCTGAAAAGTAAAGCTTCTGCATCTTCCCTTTGGGAAGATTTTATTTCTTTCCCCTTAAATTCTTCTCCTAACATCTCCCAGTCTTCTCCTAGTCATATATATCTTTTCATTGGTATGGATAACTGTCAGATAAAGTATCATATTCTCTTTGCTCATTACATAGCCAAGCAGCCAAGCAATGCATTTGTGTATTAATTGAAACTCTCTCACAGTCCATGAATCATTTTAGTGTCAGTTATAGATCTAAAATTTGTCCAACTTACTTTATTTAATTTAATTTTTTTAATTTTAGAAAGAGTGCATGCATGTAAGCAGGGGAGAGAGGCAGAGGGAGAGAGAGATACAATCAGGGCTCAATCCCACAACCTTGGGATCATGACCTGAGCCAAAATCAGGAGTCAGACACTCAACCAACTGAGCCACCAAAGCTCCCCTCTCCATCTTACTGCAGAACACTATTGCCTAAAGCTGGGCACAGCAAGCTAGGGAGAGCCTCACAAGAATCCCTTGAGACTACACTGTTGGTTCAAGCTCCAGGAGCCTTCTGTCTATAATCCTGAGCAAACCAGACTTGGCTGCTTTGAGCCACTGACATAAATGACACCTGCCTGTTAGCCATGCCTCTATCATAGGTAACACTTTTCCCTCTGGAAACACATTGTGGAAAGACATTTTTTTTTACTACTTCTTCTTTTTTTTTTTTCTTCTTCTATTCAGCTTCTCAGTAAATATTCTGTGGAGCCATCTGTCTGTCTACCCTCACTTAGATTAGCAGTATTTTTTTTCTTATAATAGAACTGATCTAAGAGGGAGAAGGCTGAATCACTTTTGAACCCCAGTGGTCATGGGAGATTCCTAAGCTTCTGCAGTTTTGAAAGTAACTGTTGTATGATATTTTTATTTTCTTCTCCTAACCACTCATCTCATTACATTTGATGGTATTTATCTGAGACTACTAAATATATTTGCAAATAAAACCTTCCAGAACAGAGCAGATGTTAAATACATCATCTCTGTTACATTTCTTATTTATTAGAAAGAAGATTGAGCAATCTTGAGTTAAACAGATATACTGGACCTCCCATACTTGGCACCTCTTTCCAAATAACTTTCTCTCTTTGCTCTACAGGCTGATACATTAAAAGAGAGATATCAAAAAATTGGTGACACCAAAAGGAATACTCCCATTGAAGCTCTCTGTGAAAACTTCCCAGGTAGGATGCTAGAAGGACATTCCAGCCAGTGTGACGGAAGCTTTGAACTAGGTAGAGACAATGACTTGGTGTTTCTAGATAAGGGTGCTATCTAGAAAATTCATATTTCCTTTTATTGTCATTTAGACCCAAGACAGGTTTTATCACTTTCATATGGGTCATACAGAAAACACACACATTCCTGGCTTGGCCCAGAGCTTCTCGCCATGGGAAGCATTCAGCTCGTGAGCATGGCCTTTCACCTCTTTCCTACAGAAGAGATGGCAACGTACCTGCGCTATGTCAGGCGATTAGACTTCTTTGAAAAACCTGACTATGAGTACTTACGGACCCTCTTCACAGACCTCTTTGAAAGGAAAGGCTACACCTTTGACTATGCCTACGATTGGGTCGGGAGGCCTATTGTAAGTACCCTGTTTTACCTTATCACCTCAGACCAGTGCTACCTTACCACTTGACTTGCCAGACTTTCTGCTTAAATCTGTAGGAAAAAACATGCCTTTCACTGTAGACTTTATATATGCCAGCCTTTTCAGGGTGATGCCATAGGTAGATTGCAATTACCAGAGTTAGAAAGTAGGAGCAACTCCTTTATATGTTTTTAAGATTATGACCAGTATGGCCTAAGATACCAGAACTTAAGCCAGTTCTTAAGAACAACTTTCATTTGAATGATCCAGAAGTAGGTGCTACATAAGCTGGTCCTGCTTCGGTAGAAGTGGACCCCAATACCATAAGAAATCTTTTTTTTTTTTAATTATTCACCTTATTTAAAAATTTTTTTAAATATTTATTTGTTTTTGAGTATGAGAGGGGGATGGGCAGAGAGAGAGGAAGACACAGAATCTGAAACAGGCTCCGGGCTCTGAGCTGTCAACACAGAGCCTGACATGGGGCTCAAGCTCACAAACTACCAGGTCATGACCTGAGCCAAAGTTGGAGGCTTAACTGACTGAGCCATCCAGGCACTCCTGTTCATGTTATTTTTTTAATTGATTTATTTGAGAGAGAGAGAGCATAAACGGAAGGGGCAGAGAGAGAGGGAGAGAAAATCCAAAGCAGGCCCCGAACTGTCAGCATGGAGCCCAACTCGGGGCTTGAACTCATAAACCATGAGATCATGACCTGAGTCATTTTCCAGGAGTTGGATGCTTAGTGGACTGAGCCACCCAGGCGCCTACCATGAGAAACTTTTGAATTAGTTCTGGCCAGGAGTTCACAGTACCTGAGAGCATGCTACCATTTCACTGTAGGATGTTTTTCTTATTTTCCAAGGTAAGCTACTCTCTAATGAGCTATTGAGGACCAACTGGCCTCCCTTTTGCAGATAAGCAAAGTAAGAAGAAGACTTGAAACTGCCCATGGATGCTGAAAATAATAATCACTGCTGTTTTGTTAGAATTGCAGTGATGCTCTCCTTTGCAGGGGCATTAAGTTGGACCTGTTTTCCATTTCACTTTTTGTTATATTTTTCCAGCCTACTCCCGTAGGGTCAGTTCATGTAGATTCTGGTGCATCTGCAATAACTCGAGAAAGCCACACACACAGGGATCGGCCATCACAGCAACAGCCTCTGCGAAATCAGGTATGTGCTGGACCTTCCTTGTTTCAGACATTCTGCTTCTTGGTGGGTAATATTAAAGTCAAAATTCTTCAGCTTCTCTGCTTAAGTATATATACTGAAATTAAATACAAAGGACTTGCCGTTTCTCAGGGGTGTGGGGTGGCATTCCAGCATCCCTTGGTGCTCTGCAGCGGCACTGAGGTGTGGTCAGGTGCCTGATATGAAGTATCCACTCAAGAGAATTTGGGCTTGTCTAAGTCTGTTGGCTGAAGGCGGCAAGTCTGCCACAGGCCCAAAAGACATGCTGAACACACAGGAGGAACAGGATAGCCCATCTGGGGTCTCATCTGCAGTCCAGTGTGGTGCTCTCACTGGCACTAGGGTGGGTTTTGGTTGTTTTGTTTTATTTTGCTTTTGTTCTTTCTCTGATTCAGAAGAGTGGGTAATTTGGACCTCTAGCTGAGCTGGGCATAAACTGGCACCTCTGTCCCACCTCTGCTCCTGTCCCCAGGTTAATTCTAGAGCTGGCCAAGTGAAGTGAAGACTCAGCTTTACATTAGGCCACTGCAGAGGAGGCCATGCCATCCGTCCTTCAGTGTTCATGGTTTGAGAAACTAGTGGCCTATGTGAGAGGCTTCTCTCAAGCCTAAAGACAGAGGAGGCAAACACACAAAAACCAGCAAATTTGACAACATTTAAAGACAGAGGTCATTGATTGGGAAGGAAATATGACGACTTTCATCTTTATATCATATACAATTGACCCCTGAACAGCATAAGTTTGAACTGTGTGGGCCTTCTTATATGCAGATTAAAAAAAAATAAATATAGTATAGTATTGTAAATGTATTTTCTCTTCCTTATGATTTTCTAATAACATTTTCTTTTCTCAAGCTTTATTTTAGAATACAGAATATAATATGTATAACATACAAAGTATGTGTTTATCATACATTTATCAATATCAAACATTATCAAATATTTATGTTGTTGGGAAGGCCTCTGAGGTCAACAGTCAATTAAGTTTTAGGGGAGTCAGAAGTTATATGGGGATTTGCAACATCACGGTGGTCAGTGCCCCTAACCCTCATGGTTGTGTTGTTCAAGGGTCAGCTGTATGTTGCTAAGAGAAAACTGAGAACCCTAGTAGACAAATAAACAAAGGATAATAAACAAACACACACACATATTCATTCATTATCAACTCTCAAATTAGCTCATTACCCTTACCTCACTTTTCAATATTCACAGACATTTTTATAATATAATGCAAAAATGCTTATCTCAGATGCACATATGAAAGTACATAGGCTAAAAGTAGCATATAGAAGTACATGTACATAGGGGACATCTGGCTGGCTCAGTTGGAAGAGTGTGTAACTCTTGGTCTCAGGGTTGTGAGTTTGAGCCCCACGTTGGGTGTAGAGATTACTTAAATAAATAAAACTTAAAAATATTTTTTCTAAAAAGAAAGTACGTACACAAATCTGGAGAGACTCACCAATAAGTACATACTCTTAGCAAAATATTTGGCTTGGTAAGAAAAAAGTATAAAGGAAAATCTACATATTTAGTAGCTAAAAGAGTAGACAGGCAAAAAGATGGGCTTTAGCAAATCACACACACTAATTGGGTTCATAGTTATATGCTTTAATCAAAGTAGCTGGCCAGGAATTACAATTTGACTGGCTTCTGATTGACAACAGAATAGTGTTGACTTCTGCAATTGTTCTCTTCTACCTCTCTTGTTAAAAATGTAGCTAAGTGCACTCTTAAACTGACACTCTCAGACATGGCTCTGGACTTTGCAAATCCAGAGTCAATTACTGGAATCCATTATAATAAAACAACCCACAATATAGAGTAAGTTATGTGCATAAAATTGTCACAGTGTCATTTGAAACAAAAGTTTTAGAAATGATCCGCTTATCTAATTATAAGGCAGTGGTTATGGATCCAGCTGAAATCTTTTAGCAAAAAAACTGGGTTATAATAAGGTAAATTGTAGTGCATTTATTCAGTGGAATATTATGTAGCCACTTAAATAATATTTAGGAAAACTTGTAGCAACCTATAAATGTTTATGATTTGTAGGTTGAGGAAATCAGAGTACAAAATTAGAAATACAGCATGATTTCCCCTCAGGGAAAGGAAAAATGAAAAACTCAGTGGGAGGAAATAATGCTGACATATTAGAAGAAACAGATACTATTCTAGGTAATATTATTACAGACTATTCTATGATAAAGTTACATTATCCTATAATGAAAAATGTACTTAAGTAGAAAACATATGGAAAGAAAAAAATTAGTAGTGAAGTCCTTCTAATCAGCATATCTGCCCAAGTACTCATGTTTTCAGAATATTTCAAATTAAAATAGGTATTTCCTTTAGTTTCCCTTGTCTTTTCTGCTTCAGTGAATTCTTAATGCTGCTATTTTGAATGAATTTTAAAAGTATGGGGAAAGAGATGTCAAAAACTTGGATTCAGGATGAAGAATTTAGTGAAAGCTATTATCTGAGTAAAAATACATTGATTTTCAGTGTACTTTTTAAAATGTTTTATATTTATTTATTTTGAGAGAGAGCAAGCAGGGGAGGGGCCAAGGAAGGGAGAGAGACAGAGACAGAGAAAGACAGATAAAGGAGTTGGGGGGTGGGGGGGAGAGAGAAAGAATCCCAAGCAGGCTCCATGCCAAACACGGGGGCCCTAGGCCAAACTCATTCCTACAGCCCTGGAATCATGATCTGAGCTGAAATCAAGAGGCAGACACTTAACTGGCTGAGCCACCCAGGTGCCCCTCAAGTGTACTTTTTTTTTTTTAATTTTTTAAAATTTATTTCTAGGAGTGAGAGAGAGAGAGACAGCGTGAGCAGGGGAGGGTCAGAGAGAGAGGGAGTCACAGACTGAAACAGGCTCCAGGCTCTGAGCTGGCAGTCAGCACAGAGCCCAAGGCGGGGCTCGAACCCACGAACCGCGAGATCATGACCTAAGTGAAAGTCGGATGCTTAACCGACTAAGCCACCCAGGCGCCCCGCCTCAGTGTACTTTTAAGTGAAGAATCATTAAACTTGTGTATGTAATTAGGAAATCTTATCTGCAGTGCAATAATAAGCTTCTTTTTGAAGACTTGAATCTTGAAATTCTCTCTGATTTCTTTTTTCTTTTAGGGTTTTTAGTATCCCATGGTTGCTAAGGGATTGAAATTCCCCACATTAATGCAAATTTTATACCTCTCTCCTAGCAGGATTCTGAATCCTTGCTGGGTTGAATTCTTTCTGCACTGTGCCCTGTGGGTAAATGTATTTCTAGTATCTATTCTACCTTTATACTGTGTCTTAGTCTGTGTCTCATTGCCTTTGTTCCATCTTTAGGGTTGTTTTCTTATGTTTTGGAGTGGGTTTTTTTGTTGTTTTTTAAGAGAAACCGTAGCCAAATATGTCCTTTACATTACTCTAAGAACTGAAAGAAGTGTGTTCTTTTTTAGATTGATATTTTTCAAGTTTTTAAATCAGCAAAAGGAGAAAATAAACTCTCTCTTTAAGAAATACTGACCAGTATTAACCTCACTTTAGGGGCAGTTAGCTTTTTCTTAGCAACTTTGACTAAATCAGTCTAGCTGAGAATCTTCTCTGTGAAAGTGTGTCCTGGGGATACCAGGATAAGTAGGGAGTCTTTGTCCTCAAAGAACTGCCAAACAGATCAGCCAGGAAGCCAGATAAACGTAACAGAACAGAGAAGCACCCCCAGTTTTCAAATTACCATCATCAGCAGTCAGAAGGAGACATTTCATCTAGTTTGAACATGACAGAGTTTTATGAAAGAAGCTGCATTTGAAGTGCTCTTGGAAGAGTAACTTGGATATGAAAGAGGCATTCCACACAAAAAGAAAATATGAGCAACAAGTTATCTAGTTCATTTTGCTAAAATATATGGTGTGATTAAAGGAGACAAGGCTAGGAAAATATCTTGGAGCCATTTGATGAAGTTACTGGAATGATGGGCTAGAGAGTTGATACTTAGTTTCAATAGGGAATAGGTAGGTACTAAAAGTTTGTGAACAAAGGGGTGATACGATCAAAACTTGGCTTTAGAAATTTTTTGGCATAGAAGGTAATAATAGCTTGGCAGCCAGCCTAGAGACAATTAAGAACACAGTACATACATTTCAGAGGTGAAGGGGGCCTAGATGGACTCTAGCAGTGAAAGTGAAATAGAACTGAAAAAGTGATACAAGGGTATGACCTGTCAGAATTGGTAGCCCACACACCTGTCAAGATTGAGGGAGAAGGATGAATCAGAGCAGTTGCTGAGATTTTGAAGCCTTGAATAATTAGGAGGTAGGTGGTACAATTACTAGAAATGGGAAATTTGGGGGGAGAAACTTCTTTGGAGTTTGAATTTAGGCATCTTGAGTTTTTGTCATGTTTTGTTTTGGTTTTGAAAGAGAGGGCAAGCGCGTGTGCAAAGGAGGAGTAAAGAGAGAATCTTAAGCAGGCTCCACACCCAGCGAGGAGCTGACCTGGGGCTTGATCCCATGACCTGAGCGGAATCAATAGTCACAGATGCTCAACCTACTGAACTATCCAGGCACCCCTAGGCATCTTGACTTTTAAATACTAGTAGCATATACCAGCTGAAGATAGCCAGCAGACAGAGGAGGGGTCTCCAAAAAACAAACAAACAAAAAAAAATGGTGACAAATTTCAAAGTCAGAGCATGGAGATGACATTGATTATAGTGCTAACCAAGTCTCATTCTGGGTAAATGTGCTCTTCAGTTGTGGTGGAGGAGTGAGACTAGGGATTAACAGGCTTTAGTCCCATACTTAGAGTAGGAGAAAGAAGGGGAGCTCAGAACTCGATTTTAGCTTCGCCTAAGGCTTTGACTCTAGGACATTTAACTTTTGGGGGGGCCTCAGCTTTCTCGGATGTAAGCCTATAAGTAAGGGTAAAGATTTTTGTTGTTTTGTTCACTGCTTTTTCCCTAACACCTAAAACAGTGTCTGCAGTAGTGTTTC